ACTGTACTTAAGTACAGTAACGAAGTACTTGTACTTCGTTACTTCCCACCACTGCACCGCAGTGAAACACAGTGAAGTTTATATTTGCTGTAGTTGTGGTTGCTGTATTTTTATCCACCTTGAAGCTGAGCGGGTGGCAGTCATCCCCTTCCACTCCTAGTGAAATGCACATCCTCTGGTTGCTCTTCCACAGACTAACGGCACAGCATTCGCCGTGACCACACTGCTCATCTTTTTCACAGGCCTGCAGGACAAGCAGAGAGACAATGAGGCAGCAATCCAAACAACAACAACTTAGTCTAAAAAAATGTTCTTATTGAAACATAAACGATAGATGGAAGAACAAATGCAAAGTGATTATAAATTCATCTCATTGTTGTAATGGAGGCACGCTGCAGTAGCTGTAAATATTGTGACATTTTTATTTAAATTATGTGTCATCTTCATACTTGAATTATAAATGACAAATGCTTGGAAAATCGACATGATTTCATCTTGGATTTTTCCAAAAGACTGAGGCGGAGGAGGATGTGGTCTGTGTAATTCAATTAAACATGATTATCCAGAAATGCAACCTGTTCGATTAGGCTTTAACATCTGGCACAAAGTTTTTATATCTCTATCAGAGAAATCAGCGTAGTGCATTAATTATTTTTTTTTTTTATGAGTTTCAAACAAAAGACATATAACTGGTGTTATTAGCTACTTACATTTTTAATGTCAAACAACAAATGCATCAGTAACTATGTATAATTATTGAAGAGGTTTCTATTAGCAACAGTTACGTCCCTTAAAAGTAGCTTATTTTCAATCTGATAAAAACAAACTGTTTGAAAATTAAGCTATTTCAATATCACCAAAAATTAAAAATAAAACCATTACAGAGACACTTTGCTACTGAAAATTAATTTGACAGAATAATAATTAAAAAAAAAACGATTGCAAATATGTAATAACATCTTATGTATATTTGTTTCTAAAGTTCAAAAAGGTTTTGTTACTAATTAACAACAGCCTCCAAGTTTCCCACTCACCGACGGGGCCACAGCTCCTCTGGACAACCTCACAGTCACCAGCAGGAAGGACAGAAAAACGGCGCGGATGTCCATAGCAGCAGCAACAGGGATTCTCTGAAATGTTGACAGTGCGTCTGCAGCGTTTTACCCTGGCAGATTCAGCCTCTTCAGGCAGTAACGAAGGGTTGCAGAACTCCTCAGGAACAGAGAGGACGCTCGCTCTCTCCTTCTCTTTATCCACCTGCAGCCTCCACCCCACCCAACTCACTACATCTGACATTTCCCCACACCCTCCCTTTGTCGTCTCAGTCATCTGGAAGATGACGGTTCTCCTCACTCCTCCTGTGCTTGTAGGTTTCTGCCTCCTGCATGAAATGGCTGACACTCAAATAAACCCCAAACATCACAGCTGAAAATTTGAGAAAATGTGTAAAGAAGATTACATAAAGGTCAGAGTATTTTCTCAGGCTAAAAAACAGACAAAACAAATTAGAATTGTAAGAGAGCAACAATGGCTGAACAAAGGACTGGACGTTACGTAGGCATATTTTCAAACTAGTATCTAAAAATGTAGCAAGTGTGTATGTTCAGTCCTTGTGATTAGATACTTTCTTGAGGAACTGTTGCAAGTCTTTAAGGCCTCCATCTACATACCATGAGATTGGATTGTAATAGTGTTATAAATAATGTTCAGTAACTGAGAACACCTGTTTTATCATTTCATGGGAGAGGTGAGACTGTTTGTGCTGTAAGCTGAAACTATTTGTACCTGTTTTTGATCATTTTATCTTGCTTATACGCACACGGCAATTTCTTAAACTCCCTGACTGAGGAAATCAGCTAAGGCTGGTTTAGTCACATATAATCATAAACAAATGTATAGAAAAAATTTATCTTAGCAGCAGATAAATACACAGATGCCTCTCCGTTTCTTTGCTTCTCTTGGCTTCATCCTTAAGATAACCTAAGATGAAAGTCTAGTGCTGTGAACCGAAGATTGTTTCTCTGATTTTCACACAATTAATGTCAGCTTTATCTCCTGATACAAATCCCATCATTGAGGATGAATCATATTGTCTCCTGTGAAATTAAAGTTCATTGGTAAAGCGCCAAAAGGAGGAAATGGGCGCAACACAATTGTCTTTTTATTTGCTCTTATTTGTATGAATGCAAAAATGTAATAATATTTCATGGCGCTCTTCTCCTAATCGTCCAGATTTTTGTTCAATTCTATTTTATTTCTTTGTTTTTCTTAATTTTCTTTTACTTTTTTGTAGCGTCACGCAATCGCGCTTCGTACTTTTTGGTCCTCATAAGGACTCTTAGCGCAAGTGACAGTCAGCTGATTCAGTCCGGAAACGTTTCACGAAACGGATAACAACAAAAAGAGATTTTCATCCAGAAAACTGACTTTTCAGTCAATTACGGAAATTTACCGATGGAGTCGACGCTTGAACAACATCTTGATGATACGTGAGTTCCGGTAACTTTGTTTGATTTGACAGTTTTTGTGAGCGATGTTGACTTTTCTCTCGGTGTTTTTGTGTTTTAGCATGAAGAATCCAGCTGTGGTCGGCGTCCTCTGCACAGACCAGCAGGGACACAGTCTGGGCTGTAAGAGTCTGTTCACGGTTTATTTTTAATGCAATTTATGGAAGAATTGAAAGCTTTATGTGGGATTAATAAATATCCTCTTGATTTATTAATGAGTCACTGAATCTTTGCGGTCATAAGTGATAAACTCACAACAAGTTGGAAAGTTTTAAATCCAAAAAAGTTTTTGGTTCTAAATTTATGGTATTGCGAGTGGATTATGTTAGTAAGAGAGCCACGTGTGGATTATTGAACCTGATTGAGTAAGGGTCCATCAGTGACTATTCCATGTTTTAAGCATTTAAAGACAGATCAGTTGAGCTAAAAGATGTTAAGGGCCTAAAAGTAACATGGCCACAACTTTAGTCCGTTTTAGGATTTTGTCTGGTTTGCTTTGAGAATCTTTAAAAAATTGCCAAGGAAGAAGATCAGGAAAAGGGGTGAAAGAGTTATAGATTCTCACTAAAATAGCTCAAATTGATAAGGATTACAGTGGGAAGGAAGCACAGAGGAGAAGGAGAGAAAAGAAGAAAACAGATATACCGTGACTTCTGTTGCTATCAGAAGATTTTCCAATATTATCGCCATCGCAAGACTTTCTGATATATGGCAGCCCTAATATATATGAATGGACTGGATTAACAATGCTTTTCTGTAAATGAACTGGATCTGTTTGTTTTGTAAAGTGCCTTTAGATGGCATTTGTTATGAATCAGTATTATAAACATAAACAGAAATTTCATTAATTTCTAGAACTACAAAAACTGTCAACTGAGAGCTTGAAGTGGCAACGACCTTCAGAGGTCTGGTCTATTGATAGTTTGTGTCTTTATTGATCAGGGTTGTTTTAGAGACCAAAGGAGAATCATTATTAAGTGTGTCATCAAAACTTTAAAGACTATGCAATTATTTTACAATGATGGTTTTGTTGCTGCAACTATAGCATGAAACTGCCAGTCAGATTCAGCTGGTTAGTCTCTTTTTCTGTGGTTGTGGTTGAACTTTAACATGTAAAATCTTCATATGAGATTGGCTGTAGCTTTTTTTGATAACTAATTGATATGTTGCTACACCAAACTTGGACTGCAAGGAGGAAGAGGGAGTACATCTGCTATTGTTTGTCCAAGATGGTGGAGTGGTGCATGTCTGTCAGACAGAGGACTTGCAGGTGATTCATCACCATTGTGCTAGTCGGTCCTGACACTTTTCCCCAAAGAGAGGTGACACTTTTTTTCTGTAAATCAAAGTAAAGCATACAAAAATGTCAAATTTTTCTCACTCTGGCATTTGGTTGTTTGCAAGTGACTCTCTGAACTAATCTAAACATTAGTAAATGCTTAACAAACCATCGATTTATCAATTTCCTTTATCAGGGTTTGGCACCAACACATCAGGATTAAATCAGAAAAACGTTTATTAAAATACATACTGCAGGCAGTAAGGTGGATTTTGCAACCCAAAAGACTCGAGCATCACATAAATTTTTATCAAGAAGATAAAAATTGATTTACAGCACTGACAAATCAGAAATTTGATAGTAAATAATGGTGTAGTCCCATTAGTAGTTTTTTTTTTTTTCCATTTAAAATGGTCTCCAACTTGCTAACAGCCGATATGATCAATGGAATAAAGGACGATTTCGATTTACACGTGATTGGTGCATCTGTAGTCGCAAGTTGTGCATCTATTTCTTGCTGATTATTACAAATGAACAAGAGTTAAAACGGAGATAAGCTAACTTTACTGGGACTAAGTACTCAGCGATGCCCATGAGCTTCACCAACGTTTCTTCATTCAGTAAGTCCTGTTTTTATTTCCAGGTCGTGGGTCGTTGTCCGACGAACACGGTGGAGTTGTGTCGGTTCTGGCCAAACAAGCTGCAGCTCTCCTCAAAGACCCGACAGACTCCCCGACCGTCTGCCTGGAGTCTGACTCAGGGTGAGCACGGACACTGTTTCGGCTTGACTTGTATTTTCTGTACATTTTATATCTATAATCTGTCTTGGGGAAGCCTGTGCTGGCTTTGGTTAATGCTTGAGGAGATCAGTAAGTCCAGAGGAAGCTGGTAAAAGAAAGTTTTCTGGTTTGTCAGGGGTGACCGTCCATCTAGTTGTTTACCAGTGGCGGCTGAGCGAAGCTGGAGCGGCTATTTGTTCGTCTCTTGTGGTGTTGCATTTTAGTGCCTCTGCTGCCACCTGCTGGTGTATGTAAAACCTCAGTTAATGTTTCTGAAGGTGGAAAGTACTTCATGTCCTTAAAACCTTGCGGCCATGTGCATTTTTACTTTAACTTTACCCGACATCTATGTATAACTGGGGTGACAAATGTGAAATGTTTGATTTGAAAAAATATATCAAACATTTATTTTTAAATCAAATTAAATTTGATTTATGTCAATGTTTATTCACTTCTTTGAATAGGAAAATGTATACAACCTAGATCAATATTTCTTTTTATGGTTTTGTAGAAATGTTTGAGTTTCTTCATTAGAATAAAAATGTTTTTTTTTTATTATAAAGTAATATTTTTTTTAACTTTATTTGTAAATACAGTTTAACTGCAGTACACTTGAAGCTTAACATTTGTGAATTTGTATTGCAGGTCAAACATTTTAGTACCCAAATGAGAAAAAACATCAACATGTTTTAAATATTCGTTTTATTTACTGCAAGTCATATAGTTGTAATATTATTGCATATCGCATATTTTTCCTAATATTGTGCAGACTTTATCAGCACATCTTTTTGTCACTGTCTCTTTGTGATTGTTTTGTAGGAACATTTTGGTGCGGAGTCATGGGAGCATCACAATAGCAGTCCACAAGATCGCATCCTGAAGACAGCAGGACTCCCTAGCAGTTTTATTGTAATGAAAGGAACAGAGACTAAATTTATCCAGTCCAAATCTGGGAAACAGTAAACTGTAGCTTCTGCATTCATTTACTAAGTTTTTCGAATCTGCATTTTCAGACCTAAACAGTTGTGCTTGTTATGTCGACACTAATGTTATTGGTATCATGTAACAGAGCAGCTTGTTTGTTACATAGAAGCTTATGTGAACTACCTGGGTGTGTCTTTTTTTTTTTTTTTTTTTTTTTTTTTTTAAACCTCAAAAAAACCTGCTTTTAAAAAACACTTAAATAAAATTTTAATGTTTTTTTTCTGTCCCTCTTT